TTTCATCCAAATCAGACAAAAACAACAAAGTTATAGATATTTTATTGATTCCCCATTATACCCTATGGTCAGATCTTCGAGGCGGCTCTGAAGCTTCAGAGCTGCTTTGGCCGGATCGATGCAGGAACCCGGTCCGGAGCTCCAGATCAGATCCCTGGCATCCGAAGCAGCCAGATCCGAAGCCAGATCAAATAGCTGCCTACTCGCACAAGCCTACTGCACAGACAAATAAGGCCTGGATCGGGCAGTTGTCATGCAGCCAGATTGGGGCTGGGTCTTTGCTACACAGCTAGATTGAGCCCCAGCCACACCTGCCCTGCATGCCAAATCAGGCCCTCCATTTAGATCGAGCCCATAGGTGGGCCTGGTACTGCCCATTCATCCTGTGTTTTTAAGCCTTCCTCAGAGCCATCGGGTGTTGGCTGCAGCCAGGCCTGGGGATTTTGAGTGGAGTGTGCTGGTGCTGCTGGTGGGACTTAAAGCCAGAGGTCCCTGGCTAGAGGGTCTGCCCTTCCACTCTGGGTCACACCAATTGCCATATTTGGGGTCAGGAAGAAATTTTACCCCATGGTCAGATGAGTACAGACTGAGGGTTTTTGCCTTCCTCTGTAGCAGGGGGGCATGACCTGCTACCTGGGATCTCTTGAGTGTATATCAATAACCTTTTACAGGAGCAGGACATTGGCTGCCATTGTTCCTCTGATTTACCTGGGACAGGTTAGGGTGTTATGTCTTGTGTTGTCAGGGTTGACAGTAGTTTTACAAAGAGTAGATTATGGATTTGTACAGGATGGTTTGGATAGGGATGATCCTGCATCAGGCAGGGGTTTGGACTAGATGACCTCTGGAGGCCCTGCTCCTCTGTGATTCTATGAAAGTTTGGGCAGCACTGCTCTGCACATTTGTCACAAGGGTGTTAGTTAACCCTTGCATGCACAGAAGTCAGCATTGTTGCCTTAGTTGTCCAGATAGGGAGACTGAGGCATGGGGACTGAATTCACTCACCAGGCCAGTGGCCACACTGGGGACAGAACCCAGGTGTCCTGACTTCCAGCCATGTCTTCCCTAACCAAGTTCTCATTCCACTCCTGGAGCCGGGGATGGAACCCAGGAGGCCTGGCTCGCTCGCAGCCCCTGGGCAGCTGCCAACAGTTGGAGTACTGGGAAGCTATTGGCCTCAGGATTGAGTGGGCCATGCCCTATCCTCTTTGCTCATTTCCAGCTGATCGGGCTGCCCCTGTCCTCCTGGCAGGGTTCACTGTGGGGCATCCATCGGCACCCTTCCTCTCAGGCTATAGAGATGCATCATCTTCCTCTGATGGGGGGGGGTGCTGAGAACCCGCCTAGCCCTGGCTGCTTCCCAGGGAATTCCCCTGGGCAAGGCCATGTCCTTAGGCCACCCCATCCTGCCTGGGCCCTGGGGAGCATACAGCACAGGAGAGGCCAGGGGAGGTCAGCCCTGCAGGGAGGCACTGTGCCAAGGGGTGGTCTAGCCACAGCAGATGCTTCCCCTGCCATGGCTGCTTCATTCCTCTTTGAATGATCATGCTCATCTGGGAAGCTGTGCTATGCTTCTGGGAGCAAGGGTGGCCCAGATTGACTGAGGTTCAGCAGCAGAGACACAACATGCTGGGATCTGCTTGCCCAAGGAGGTGTATACCCTGGGGTGCCTGGATCATGCCAGCCCCAAACTCTCCTCAACCTGCCAGTCCTCCAGGCTGCACTGCGAATCACCTATGCTATGTGCTGCCTCTGGTGGGGCCAGTGATGGAGCTGCCCCCCTGCTCCAGACCAACAAGGATGAGTCCTCAGGGAGGATTTGTTATGTAGCAAGGAAGAGCAGGATGCTCCCTTTCCCTTGGGGCTCCTGGCTGACATGCCCTGGGCTGGTGACTACAGCAGGGGCCTGAGATCCAGGACTCCTGAGTTCTCTTCCTGGTTTGCTAGGCAAGTCCCTTCCCCTCTCTGTGCCTCGCTTTCCCATCTGGCCACGGTGGGAGGCAAGCCCTGGCCATGACCCTGGGGCAGTGCTGCTTTCTCTCCCTTCCTGCCTGCCCTGGTTTCCTGTTCCTTCAGCCCAGAGCCAGGTGAACCCCTGGTGGGTGCTTCTCTTTCCCAGTGTTGGCTCTCTTGCTTCTGCCTTTTTGTTAAAGTGAGAGGTCTGGACACTTGGACACGAGGTCCCTGTATGTCCCAGAGACTCCCACACACACCTCTCCTTTTCCGTAGGGCCCCAGGACACCAGCTTTGTGGCCTGTTCTGCTCTGGGTCTCTGCCAAGACTTCCAGTGGTAGGGGGTGTCTGGGGCATAGTGGGAGGTGCAGGCACCTGCAAACTGAGCTGAGACTTGCCAGGCTTATCACACATGGGAGTGGAGAGGCAGGGAATGGAACTGGGCAGGGCCTGATCAGACCTGGAGGCCTGAAGTATCCATGCCCCAGCCCCTGTAGCCCCCTGGTTGTGCTGTGCTGCCAGGTGTGGGAGCCCAGGGGCTGGGGATTTACCAGGGCTCTGGGAATTTGCACAGTGTTTCCCCCAACTCTGGACAAATCATGCTTCCCTGCACATGCCCCCTCTGTCCCACTTACCCACAGAGTCTCCCATCCCCCAACCTTCCAAGGAAAGGGTTGCCCCTTACCCCACTTGAATGGTGAAGCCCACCCCAGCTGTTCCCAGTGTCCCTGCCATGCTCCTGCATTTTAGTATTGGGGGGGCAGTCAGCCGCATTGCATACAGCAATCACATGGAACACCTCCCATGTGTGCACACACTCGCACTCTTGCTAACATGCACACATGTGCATCCTCTCACCTAAGTGTGCACAGGTACCCTATACCTTGCTGCAGAGAGCCTTGTGCTGTGTGGGGGTCACCCCCCAGCACAACTCTGCCCAGTCTGGCACATGGCCCCGCTCCTTCTTGCAAACAAACCCACTCTGGGTCTTACACCAGCTCCTCGCACCCTCACGCAAACTCCCACATGCCCCTGCCTGCTCACACCCATCCATGTACCTACGTGTGCTTGTGCAAGTCTTGCACTCAGCGGTACAAGCTGAGCCAGAGATGAACCTACTGATCACACACCGTCTCCCCTGCCCAGTGGTTCTACCCAGGCCCTGCTGCCTATCGTCTTGGGGGTGGGGGCACAAATCTGGGGTGCTCCATCTCAAACTCCCTCCAACCAGACATCCCACTTTGTCCCAGCAGGGCTGGCAGGCACAGAGCAGAGTGACTTGTGTCCCGGCCACTTCTCCATTGTGCCATCACAAGGCAGGGAATGCTTCTGAGCCTCTTGTCCTCAGTTCACCCCTGGAGCGCGCGATTGTTCCCACACGTGTGGTATGTGCAGAGCCATCACACACCGTGCAGAGACCCCTGCCATGCGTAAGCCCCACCAGGGGTCACCCGAGGACACAGCCCATTCTCTCCCCACCCCCCCACCCCCCGCATCCCCTACACTTCCTGCCTCTGGGGGGCCCCGCGGGGACCCCGCGTCGCCACAGCCCTTTGATGCGCTCGCTTAGCTTGGCCCTGTGCCAGGGCTTTTGCAGAAATCCTTAAGTTTGAGGGGGGGCCTGGACAGGGAGGGAGAGGGGGGTGCACAGGGAAGGGGGAGGAGCCATGCCCTGCGCCAGGCTATGAGGAGGGAGCCCAGCTGCTTCCTAACCTCGAGGTAACCTCAGTTGCTTTCCAGCACGCCAAGAAGGGAAAGGAGGGGTGCCTGGCTCAGACCCACCAGCCCCAGGGAAGGGCGGAGGCAGCAGTTTGGGGGGGCAGTTGGTTCTGCCCTGTCCCATTTATGTGCTAAATGGGGTCATGTCAGTCCAAGGGGGAGAGGGTTGGATGGACTCTTTGGAGCTCCTGTCCTTCACACTGTGGCTCTGTGGCCCCTTCCTGCCCCAGGGGTGACCCACAGCTCCACTTCCCCCCACACCTCTTTAATGAAGGGACTTGGCCCCGTGCTGGCCAGAGGGGAGTCAGTGGGCCTGTGTGTGGCACAAATGCCTCTCCCCAGGAGTTGTCCACAGCTCTCTGCTTACAGGAGGACATGAGCTGGGGGCCCTTAGAGCCTGCCCTGCCCTTCTCACAGAGCAGGGCAGGGGCCCTGGCAGGGGGTGGGAGTGGGGGGCAGCTCTGAGGGGCAAGAGCCTCAACACAGCTCAGTGCCTGGGAGCCTTCCACCACTTCTGAGCAGGAAAATGGTCCCCTCCTGAGGTGGAGGGGTCTTCTCTGTCCCTGCAACCCCCATTTCAAGGCTGTGCCTGCTCTGTTTGTTTCCATAGGGCCTGTTGTGCAGGCTGGGCCCAGAGGGATCGGTGCCCCTTTCCATCGGCTGCTCCTGCCCCCCGGGATGCTCTGTGCCAGCTGGTGCTGAGGCGGGCACCATGGGGAGTGCATTGTAACTCCTCCCCATCCCGCCGTCCCCCCAAATCCCAGACCCGCGTCTGCCGTGGCGACCGCGGCGCAAAGCAGCTGGGGGCGGAGCCCACCTCGGTCTCTCCTGATTGGTCCTGGATGGAATTGCGGTGAATGGAACAGAAGCCCAGCACCCTGGACTCGCAGTCGGAGCCAGAGGACACCCGGTAAGAGCTGTGGGGAGCCCCTGCCCAGGCCGCCAGAAACCCCCTTCCTGTGCCCTCTGCACCCTTATGGCCCAAGGCAGCCCTGCAGTCATGATTTGGCCTGGTCTAAGATGTCAGTCTTTGAAAGAGATAACAACCTACTATCACTGCTTGCCCAGGTTGCATGGAAGAAACCCTGTGCTGTGGGTGGCATGGTTCTGGGTTTGAATGCTACTGGTGCCTCGTGGCAGAGTTGAGCTCACCGTCATTCATGATGATTTCCATTTGGGAGACTTCCGTGACCGATGTTGAATTTGCATCTGAGGGAGCTGGTAGCTTCGTGTTGGGGTGTGTTGAAAGTGTGATCTCTTGGGGGTGTGGCTGGCTCAGCTCACAGTGGGGAGAGAGGCTGTCTGTTCCATGCCCATTGCTCTGGGCGTCCCATACTAACTACTTGCTGTGCCTTGTTTTTTTGGGCCTGGGGGATTCTAAATGTAGAGCTGTTAATGTGCCCTGTGTGCAGTTCAGCAGTGGCTGTCACTCCTAGGCAGGGCTGCCTCAGGGAGAATGGGTTGTGTGAGCACATGCCAGAGTCTGAGTGTGCATGGACCATAAGCACATATGATCATGAACACATGTACAAGGGAGCGTGAACACGTGTGAGAAGGCTCATGTGAAAGATTTCTCCAGATCTGTGTGGTGGCAGGCTAGAATTGGGTCTGGAGAGATGTGAGATGCCAGCCCTGCCCATTGCCAACGTGCCACCGAGACCTATTTCCCGCTCTGCCCATCCAGGCATGGCTAGGGTAAACAGGAGGGAGAGCAGGATGATAATGACCCCATTCTTTGGCCCTGGCAGGGCCTGGGCCCTACTGGGTTGAGGGGCATGGCAGGTGTCCCTGGCAGGCAGACAGACAATCGGCCCCCACTGCTGCTCATGCCATGTCCATGTGTTTGCGCAGCCTCTCGCTCCCAGAGTTTCCTGGCATCAGGCTCTGGCATGGGTGCCCGCCCCATGCCTGGCACTGGAATTTAGGCAGCCATGCCTGGGGTGGCATCCAGGCAGCCAGAGGGAAAGGCAGGATAGAAAGCCCCTCCTGTGAGATCATGGTGCTTTGAAGGAAAATCCATACACCATTGGTACATGTGGAGGGCAGGGGGGTGTCTGCCTTGGGGTCCTTTCTCTACCCCACTCCCTAAGCAGCCCAGCCGGGCATCTCCCACACCTTTGGCACTGCAGTGGGTCCAGGGTTCTGAGCCCAGGCCATCGGGGGGCAGAATAGGGAGATAGCTCCCAGGGGCTGGGCCATAGCAAGGTCAGCCCTAGGTACAGCACACCTCAGCCAAAGGCAGTGGCATGTTGGCACCTGTTACCCTGCTGTGGGACCCAGTAGAGGGTGCTGGATGGCAGGTGGGGGTACTCAGTAAGGTTGTCAAGCTGAGTGGGAGTAACATGCTGCAGAGAACAAGGTGAGGGGCCCTGTTGGGGGCACCAGGGTGCAGGAAGCCAGATAGGTGGGTGCAGGGGGACACTGTGCCACAGGGAGTGACAGCAGGGACCTCAGTAGGGGGCACTGTGCTTCAAGGGCAGTGCATTGTGCTAGCAGAGGGTGTTCGGTAGGGGGCACTGCCATGGAGTGCTCTGGCAGGGGAGGACTTCCGGTGGGCACTATGGTTCAGTGGGCAAGGCAGGGGCTTTGTAGGGGTGCTGTAGGGCAGAGGCAGGGCACAGGGGCTGCATGGAACACTGCACTGCAGGGCGGTGCCAGCTGTGAGCCAGGCTGCAAACTTGAGGTGCTGCCCCCTTGTGGTCAGTCAAGACCCCTGAGAACTCTCCCCAGGAGTTGGGCATTAAAACCCCATCCCCTGGGCAAATTCCCTGAATGCCTCCCCTCCCTATAGTTTCCATTGAAGATGGGATCCTCCATCCCCTCCCATCCTAAAGTGACTGCTCAAGGGTGTTACCGTGTCACCCCAGAACAGCCACTGTGCCCCACCCCAGGGCCTGCTTTATCAGTGGGGTGGTGGGGAAGGCAATTCCTGGGCCCAAAGATCTTTGGAGCAGTAACTGTTTCAGACCCCCTCTATCTCATCCTAAAGGCCACAGGTTCAAATCCTCCCTGGTCCCCATGAATGGGCAGATAAGACAGTACCATAGAGTTCAGGGCATGGAGTGGGCTTGGGGTGCAGGAGAGGGGAGTGACAACCCTGTACCCCAGTCCTTGGGCAATTTCCCCCTGCCCCTATTAGCCAGCAGCTGAACCCTCCCAAGATGGAGCAAATGGCAGCAGGGTTCCCCCTGCATATACCCTGCTTTGGTTTCCCAACCACCCTGTACTACCTGGAGGTGGAATCACTTGTGTGTGTTATCATCTCTCCCTCCAGTAGGACTTTCCTGGGGTTCAGGAGCATTTGTTATGTCTTTTGATCAGCACCCCCTGGGAGCCCATGTGTGGGGCATACTCCCAAGGGGCCCAGCAGTTTGCCAGGGGGAGGATGCATTTGTGCAAGGGGGTGTGTCTGCAAGCATGCCATAGTGTGTAGGTGGGTGAGGGCATGCAAGCTGGCTCACGTGCCCCATGTTGTTTGGGTTGTACTTTCAATTTTGCTGCTCAGTGGCCCACTTGCTCTCATCAAGCTGCTCTTTGAAGTCTTGGCTCCGAAGGGCTGGCAGGAAGGCCTGAAAAAACAGACGTGTATGTGTGTGTGTGTGCGCGCGTGTGCGTGCACGCATATGTACATCCAGCCTCCTCAGCATCACGTGAATTCACAGTGCAGAACTGCAGCAGCCCGCCCTTCCTTAACCACTGAAGGAAAGAAAGATACACACACCACACCTGCAGGTGTGCACCAGAGACATGCATGGCCACATAATCACGGCCTTGTGCACAGACACACACATGCATGAACTGTAGCTCGTGCTCTCTGCTCATGGCTGTCATCAAGTGCCTCTGTATCCTCCAGCCTGAGGCACTGTCCTCCTCTCTACCCCCATCACCTCTTGTGCCACTGTGGCAGGGTCCTTGCAGTGTGGGGAGGAACCGTCTGGTTCAAGAGGCCTGTGGGAAAGGAAGTTCCCAGCTTTGCTGGTGCAATAATGCTCCCCTCTCCCAGTGTTCCCTGCCATGGGAAACAGCAGTGGCCAGGGTTGTCCTACAGAGGGGAAGTGGAGGCAGGGAGGAGGGCAGTCTCACTGCTGGCCCACGCTAAGTTGCAGAAGCTGAGAGCTGAACCCAGGTGTCCTGGTTCCAGCTTGCCGGCAGGAGACACACACCTGTGATTAGTGCACCTGGCCACCAGGTGGCGATGCTGCTCCATGGAAACCCAGCACAGGGGCACTCACCCGGGGGAGGAAAGGGAGTCCTTATGTGGAGGAGGGGGGCATGCAGCAGGTGCATGCCCCCCTGGGTCACCCTTAGGCTGGAAGGGGACCCAGGCCACTCCCAAAGGGCTGGGAAAGCAAGGCTGGGGCAGTCCAGGAGGTGAGGAATGGGGGCAGGAGGTCCTGGGATTTCCTTACACCTGTATTGCTCCAAGTTTTTTCCTGTGAGAGCCAGCGTGGAGTGAGGAATCTACTAACCATCCCACGAGGCTTGGGCCCCGGGGCACTGGGAGCAGGGAGGACATGGCAGCAAAGGATCTTGGCATGTAGGGCATGAGTTGTGCTGGTCCCCTGCTGCCAGGGCACAGCTGGGGCACAGCCTAAGGACACACAGCGTGGGAGTCCCTTCCCCACTGCACCCCAGTCACAAGCCTGCCAGACAGGCACATGAAGAGGGCTGCACACAGGGTGCACAGTGCATGGATCCACATGCACCACAGACACCTTCACAGCCCTCACACTGATGCATGCAGAGCACAGACACACACATGTGGACGCATGTACCGCAGACACATACACACAGCCCTTATACAGAGGTACCTAAATGGATCCACACACACACCATAGACAGGCACAGAAACCCATGCACCCCAAACACACACACAGCCCTTGTGCAGACATGCATACAGACACACACACATGATGGACACACAGCCGTCATGCAGATATGCTCACACACATCTGTATACACTCAGCCCTCATGCAGGCACTCACACACCACAGCACACTCCTATACACATGCACTCACACACACCTTTCTCATGCAGAGGCACACACACACACAGAGCCCTTACACAGATGCACACATGCATACTCCACCTTGACACACCTCACACTCCTGTGCAAACACCGATACATCTTACAGACCCACCACACATGGCACCTCACATAGCCCACCTTTCTCAATACATCCCTGTCTAGAGAGCTGCCTTCACCTGGGAGCAGAACATACCCATGGCAGCCACCACAGTTCAAGGCCCCCTCACAGACAGTGCCCTAACTGCCTCAGCACAGCCAGATAACCCTAAGCTTAACCATAGACTGCAGATGTGCCAGCCTGACTCCCCATCCACCCCTCCCTGACTCACCCAGCCCCTGGGGTGAAGCAATAGGAGAAGATTTTCCAGTTTGGGGCTGGCTGGGTAACAGCTGACGTGTCGACCGTGGCCTGGGGTAGGGGCTGTGTCTGGGGTGCTGACGTCCCAAGAAGTGCCCCAGCTTTGACCTTGTGTTCCCACTGTTTTGCCGGCAGGATGGTTCCTGCTGTGTGCACTGTTTCCATCAGCTCCCCGCCAGCCCTGGGGCTGTGGGAGTGGGGCTGGGGGCTTGATGGCACTGGAGAAGGAGGTTCCTGTGTCCAGGAGGGTAGGACCAGCTTCCCACATGGTCTCCCTGGCTCCTGCAGCCATGGGTCTCCCTGCTAAGGCTGCAGACCAGGGGCTGGTCATGCTGCGGGGCTCTGGCTCCTGGCAGCCCCAGGCAAGGTAGGCTAGACTGGGTCCAGCTTTACCCAGCCAGGCTGTTCCCAGCTGGGGGCATCTCTGCTCCCACCTCTGGGCCCTGACACTGGTCCCAGCTGAGCCTGCTGTGTCCTGGGTGTCTCTGACCTGGTCATGCCAGGTTGGGGTTCCATGCCAGGAATCTCTGCCCTGCGCCACCCCAGGGGCTCTGAGCTGGGCACTTCAGTCTCACAGCCGCGGCCCCTTCCCCATGCTCCTGCTTACCTCACTGTTAAGCTCATGCAATTGCATGTTCACACTCACGCTTGTTCACTTGCACATTTGCATCCTCTTGCACATGCTCAGTGCTCATGCTGTCATGTTTGTCTGCATATGTTTGCTCAAACACACCTGCTCACACCCTTGTCCATACGTTTTTGTACTGGGGTGCCTCGTGCTCATTTGTATACTCACTTCCGGCATACTCATGCTCTCTCATGCTCACTTGGGTACAGCTCCCCAGACCTGTCACAGTCCATCTCTCCCTGTGGCCTGCGTGTTTGGGCTGTGCATCTTGCTCACTCATGGGACTGGCATATGGGAAGGGTGCCCTCCTGGCTGGGCAGGTGCCAGTGTGTGTGACCGGCAGTGGCACCTGACAGTTGCTTCCTCACACTGCCCAGCCTGAAGAGGCCCAGGCACCTCTCACCATGGCTTAGTCTGGAGAAGAAGCAGCAGACCCTGTGGCTTATTGCTGCCCTGAGTGCTCACTGGGGACAAGGAAAGGAGCACAGACCTGGGAGGGCCCTACAAAGGCCAGGCCCCCGCCCTCACCAGCACCCAGGACTCCTGGGTTTCGTCAGCTGCTCTGGGAGAGGTGTGGGGTCTAGTGGGTTGGGAAAGAGTTGGACACCCGGACTCCTGGGTTCTTTCAGCACCTCTGGGAGGGGTGTGGTATCTAATGCATTGGACTCCTGGGTTTTCTCCTGGCTCTTGCCCTGCCTTGCTGGGTGACCTTGAGTGATCTCCATACCCCCAGATGCCCTGGGATCAGGCTGTTTCTCTCTCTGGCAGCAATATGCCCTGTTTAGAAACCCCCTTTCCCCAGTATGACCTCTGGAGCTCCCCACAAGGGCCCCATGCCCCTGTCCACCACAGCCCAGCTGGTAAACAGCCTGCATAAACACAGCCAGGCTCTATTTTGGGCAGATTCCCCAGGGGCTCACGTGCCCACAGGGAGGGACCCGAGGTTGGCAGGGCCCTGGTGATAGGGGTGACCCTGGGGTCTGGGCCCTGCCTCAGGGAGCTCCTCTGGGGTGGATATAGGTCCAGGCAGGGCATGGGCAGGCTGCTCTCCCGGCAGGAGGGTGCTCAATACTGTCCGTGCCCATCGCCCCACACTGCTTTCCCCAGGCTTGGGTGCTCTGTGCTGTGCAGAGGGCTTGCGGGCTGGAGAGCCCCTCCATACCACACGTGCTCTGCGCTGGGCACAGCCTGTCCCCGCACTGCGGCGCTGGCTGAGCAGCCAAGGTTCAGGTGGAGTCGGCCCTGCTGGCAGGCAGCCAGGCTGTGCAGCGCCTCAGCGCCCCTTGGCCTTGCGCCCAGGAGCTGTCTGGGACAGCAAGTGCTGTCAGCACCAGACCTGGTGGGGGAGGAAGGCGGGGGGCTCCCAAGCTCTTCCACAGGCTGCTCCCACATCGTCTCCAGGATGACAACAGGCTGGTCAGGTCAAGAGCCCCTGGCCGGGCATCTGTGCAGGCCCCCACAGCCCTGGGAAGGGGTGGGGGGCGCGCTACTGGGCCTGGCACTACTGGGTTTCTGTAGGGTTCGTAGGGAAGGCTGGTGGGATTGTGAGGGCTTGGGGGAAGTTTCCACTGTAGCCGTTGGTGTGTTATTGTAGGGTCTCCTGGAATGGCTGGTTTGTTGTTGGCAGCTCTCTGGGAGGGGCTGCCCCATTGGAAAAATGAGGATGTTTGCTGGAGTGGTTCTGATATGGACAATGCCAGAAATGACTAGAAACATCTGGCCAGAGGCTGAGACCCTCCTCCGCCTTTCCCCCAGCCCTGACAGTGTTCACCCAGCCTGGCAGGTGCAGGCGGGAATGGGCAGGACAAGGAGCAGAGAGAGCTCTACTGGCTCGGCCCCCACAGGAAACATGGGCAGGAGAAAGCCATAGGCTGCAGGAGGATGAGCTGAGGCGCAGCAGCTGGGGCCTGGCTTCTGTCAGGGGGCAGACAGCTGCCTCTTCCCCAGCCCTCCCTTCCCTGAGCTGCTCCAGCTTCGCACTTGTCTCTGGCTCTGGCCAGGCCTTGGGGTTTCCCAGCCCAGCATCCCGCCTGCTGAGACTCTGCCTGGGGATGCCAGGGCCATTGAGCTAGCGTTGCATCCCTCACAGCTATCAAGCCAAGGCCAGCTGCCAGCCCAGGGCCTGCACCAAGAGGCCAGGGAGGTACTTTGCAAGCAGGGCCCTAGTGGAGGTGGAATTGATATGCAGCACCAGCAAGAGAGGCAGCATGGAGATATCTCTCACCACCTGCTGGACCCCTTGGTCCTGACACAGCAGGGCCTGCTGCCCCCATCACCCTCCACAATGTGTCCATCCTGCCACGGCTCTTGTGTACGCACAGCTGAGCTGGTGTCTTCAGTCTGGATCCTGCCAGCCCTGGGCTTCTGGCACCCCCTCCTCCTAACTCTGCCTTCCCTCCTTCCCAGCTCTTCCAGTGCCCCTGGATCCCGCCCCGCCTAGCTCCACTCTGTAGCTCCCTGGCTCCCTGCGCTAAATTCCCTTGCATGAAGACTGTGGAGTGGGAGACAAACCAGCTGACCGTTTCCAGCCAGCCTCACCAATAGGGTCTTGCTGTGCAAATGAGGTGCAGATCTCGGCGTGCCGATTGGGCCGAGCTCCTCTGATGTCATGTTCCAGCCGAAGCCAAAAGGACATTTTGTCTTTGAGAGTTCTTGAGCACAGCCTCCGAGCTGTGCCAGGCTGGCAGGGGCTCCCCTCCCTCCTGTTGCACAGACTGGGGGATCCCCCTGGCCCAGCCAGCCACTGCGGATGGCGCTGCCATCCTGCATAGCCCACAACTGGCAAGGGGCTCCCCAGTTCAGGGCTGGGAGTTGCTTGGTGCCTGTTCTGATCTGTGGTCATGACACAGGCAGCCTTGCTGCAGCAGAATCCCTCCAGGCAGAGCGGGTTTGTGTCCCTGGGTGCCGCCAGGACACCGCTGTTTCCCATTGTGCCACAGTAAGGAGCTGTCACATGCATCAGACCCAGGGTCAGGGGTTACATGTGTGTGCACAGACATGGGCACACTTATGTATGCACACAGCATGGTGTGGCTGGACAGAGGTCAGGAATTGGTCTAGTTTGCACATGTACATGCGCGTGCACACACAAACTGCCCTGCCAGCCCTAAGGTCAGGGATAGGTACATCACACACATGCACATGCATATACATGTCTGCCAGCTCCAAGGTCAGGAGTTATGCATGTTTGCACATGGACAGACACACAAATCAATGGCTTTACTGACCCAGAGGTCAGGGATCTCTCTCTCTCTCTCTCCTCTCACTCCCCACCTCAACACATCTTTTCCACCAGTGAGGTCAAGGATCTCCCTCTCTCTCTCACACGCGTGCACGCACACACACCAATTACACGCTCACACACATATACTGTCTCTGCCAGCCAGAGCTCAGGCTGTGGATCCAGCTGGGGGATGTTCTTGTTGCTTCATGTCACAGTGCCACCTTGTGGGTTGCTCAGTGCTCAGGCTCAGCCCGCTCCCCTGGGAACTTCTTGTGGCATGTGTTGGCATGTGTGGCTGTGCCTTTTGAGCTGTCCAGGCCCCCAGGACCAGGAGCAGCACCATCCCCCAAGCAGTTGAGGAATCTCCCACCTGCACCCAGCTGCTGTGACCCAGGACTCAGCGAGTTCTGTGCTGATATGGCGCTAGGGCCCAGGGATCCTCAGAGTTGCCACCCCCATGCTGCCACCTACAACATGTACCCATCCATCCGTCCGTCCATCTGTCTAGCTTCCTTCTGTCCTTCACTCTGCTGATTTATGTCTGTCATGCAAGTGCTTTGTGTCACTATCAAGTGATGATCACCTAAGAACATAAGAACCTGGTGTCTGCATGTCCTGCCTTATCCATCTACTCCTGCATTGTCTGTCCTGCCTTATCCATCCACCCCTGCAGACATCTGTCCACACATGCCTGCCTGTCCCCCTACATGCCTGTCTGTCTGGGATCCAGCATCTCCATCTATCTCCTCATCTACCCATATTCATCTCCATGTCTGTCTGTTCTCATGGGCCTTGTCTGGATCTCACTAGGGGTCAGGCTCACTCTGAGATGGTGCTCTGGGGTCCTGTCACTGGCTCAAGCCATCTCTGGTTGTGTGTTCTCATGGAGGGGAGTGGGAGCTGGGGAAGCAGCCACTAAGCCAAGCAGCACAGGCTGCCCATGGCCTGGCAGTGGTGTTAGGGGGATAGCCACAGGACTGTGAATGGGGCAATAGGGGGATGGAGGCCCAAGCTGTGTGGAGGGACTGGGTGTGTGCATCCGGACCTGTTCACAACCCAGCTGCCCCAGCCCTCCAAACCCCCTTATCTCCCCTGTTCCTTCCAGATAACAGGTCACAGGACAGCTCCCTCCTCACTCCCAACCCCTTAAAAGGAGCCTGGCGGGCTGGACCCAGCAGCTAGGGGAGCTGGAGAGCACAAAACATGTGGCCTCCTCGGGGCCTCTGTTTCCCCATCTGTGGAGCAGGGATAAGGAAACCAGCCCGCCTGCCCAGGCACGGCGCTCCCTGGGCCAGGGTGCCTGTGGGGAGTTCTTCCAGGTGGAGCAGGTTGGGGGAAGGCAAGGGTTTCTCTTGGGTGGATGTGGTGGGGGTGTGGAGGGAGGCTTGGGAGCTGGGGGTCTTGGTAGGGTGGGTGGAGGCATAGAGACCATCACTGCAGTCGATAACCAGGACTCCCCATGTCTCCCCTGCAGGTGGCCGGATGGGAAACGCAAAAGAAAGAGCAGCCAATGTTCGGTGAAGAGCAGCATGTCAGGTACTGACCCCTCTGGACCACCCCTAGGACAGCCCATCCCTACTCCCCCAACCCCAACCCAGGCAGCTGGAGCCCCCCACAGCCTCTACCTTGTGTGCCCATCTGGTGGGTCAAACAGCTGCTTCCTAGGCTTCAGGGCCAACCCCAGAGGTGGGGGGCAGCAGGTTCCTACCAAGGCTCAGCACTCAGTCCTCAAGCTAGTGGGAACAACAGACTGGTTCCCCCAGGGGCAGAGGAGGGGCTGGATCCCATCCTCATCCCCCCGCCAGCCCCTCCCTGCAAGTCCTGGGACTCTCAGCAGGAGGTTCATCAGGGTCAGCTGAGGGTATCGGCTCTGGCAAGAGGGAACTTGAACTCTGCAAGCCCTAGATAATGGTGGAAAGTGTTGTTCCCCAAGGCTGGGGCAGAGCCTGCTCCCAGTGCTGGTGCTGACAGCGCTCCCTGCTGCTGTAGTGGGGGTGACAAGGGGCACATTGTGGGGGCAGGGAGGCTTATCCAGAGCTAGAGTGAGATCTCCAGGAACCATCCTCTGCTGGGTCCCTCCACTGGAGGTGCCAGGAGAAGCCAACGTAAGGTTAGACCGTCTCCCTCCTGGAGTCCTGGCCTCCCTGAACCAGCACATGTGTAGTTGGGCCTGGACCCTGGGGTAACGCTGAGTGGGGCAGATGAGCAACACAGTGTCCCAGCTGGCCTGACATCTGCTTCCAGCTGCCACAGCCCCCGTCCCTCACCAACACTATCCCTATACACAGGCCAGTGCTTGAGTCCACAGCACCTTGCGTGCACACTCACACACACGTACAGGCTCCTGAGAACACCCACCTGCACACGCATGCATGCATGGCTACCTGCTATAGTCATGCTCCCAGGAGATGCAGGCAGGGCAGGTGTCTATCACACGCCCCATTAGGGCAGGAGTGGCTGCCCTGGGGGTCTGGCATGGGCAGGTTAATGCGGATAGGGGAGGTAGGTTCTGTTTGTTTCCTGATATCCACAGTACAGATGAGAGTAGAACCCAGGAGTCCTGGCTCTCAGGCCTCCTACTTTAACTAGGAGCACTCTCCAACTCCCCTTCCTGGCCAGGGGCAGAGCCCAGAGCCTGTGCTGACTGAGAGCAGGGTTTCTGGTTCACAGGAGGGTTTGGGGTTTTTTTTAATGGCTCCAATCCAAATTGGACCAAAATCAACATTTTTTCAGAATTTCCAGCAAGCCGGAAGCTCTCTGGACCCTGCAGCTGCTTGCTGAAATTACCCTTCTCCTCAGTTTTGCTGCTAACAGCAGCAGCAAGGCTGACAAGAGTGCCTGCACTGGCAAGGGAGGGAAGACTGCTGGCTTAAAGCGGGGGTGGGGGGGGCCTGGGTGCCAGGACGCCTGGGTTTGCTCCCCAGCTCTGGGAGGCAAGTGGAGCCTGCTGCATTAGAGATGCAGAGGTGGGGTAGGATTCCTGGGTTCTCTCCCCAGCTCCGTCACTGCCTTTCCCTGCCTCTTCAGTGGCTGCCTCAGTTTCCCCAATGAGGGGCACAAGGGACAAGCACAGCCTTTCTGGGACTCCTGCCCTGGCAGCCTTGGGCTAAGCAGCGCCAACCACGCCATGCCGCCCTCCCCCACCAGCGAGGTCACCCCAAGGCCATGGGGGTGGGTGGGGCCAGCTCTTCCCAAACCCAGACAAAGGCAGTGACAGTGGGGCATTGTCAGGAGGCCCCGGCCTGGTGAGCAAGGGGACAGGCCCCCCTGCCACCAACCGGAGTGCGGAGGCAGGTCACGTGAGCTGAGCAGACAAAGGGGGCACTGGGTGGGGGTGGGCTTGTCTGTGCACCCCTCCCAATATAATAAGGCCTTTCTTTATTGGGAAGGAGGGAGGGGAAACATTCAGGGCTGGGGCCCTTCTGCACCAACAGCCCTGACCTCCCTCTTTAAATTGCCTTTCAGAAAAAACAGTGGGCCTGGCTGGGGGGTGGGAGGAGAGGACAGACCCAGTCCCCTCCCCCCACCAAGCTCTGAAGGGTCTGGGGCTGAAGAAACCTATTTACATCCCCCCTACCTCCTTTCCTTTAACCCCTTCAGTGTCTAGCTTCTCCCACTGTGTCTAACATGTGGGAGGGGCGTAGTTCCCACCCCACCCCCCACAGATGGGGCAGTGTCAGGGCCAACCCCAGGAATTTGGGGCCTCCTGTGGATCCAGGAAGTCCTGCAGGGCACTATGGAGTGAGCCTTTGGGGGTACAGAGGGGCCAGGGTCTCCGCAGGACAGTAGGCATAGTCCATCTCCTCTCTGTACCTCAGTTTCTCCTCTTCCCTGCAGGCCTGGGAGCTCTCCAGCGCGTCCTGCCCTCTGACTGTGCGCACACCGCCAACCCACCAGCCTAGCTGGCTCCCTTTACAATGGCTGTCCTGACACCTTCTGCAGCCCCATTCCTCCGAGGTCAACCAGGTCTAGCTGCAAAGGACTTGGTTTCTTGGGAGGCACAGCCCCACTGCAGAGCCCTCTGAGTCTAGCATGGGCCACGGGTGCCTGAGTCAGCTTTAAACCTCTCCCGAGTGACGTTTACCAAGTAGGAGGAAGGCTATCTTTGCACTGGCTTTAAGGCCTCCACCCATGGGGCAGCCAGTGCTGGGAGACAAGGTAGAGGTCAAGCCTGTGCCCTGCCACAGACTGCCTGGTGCCCTGAGTCAAGTCCCTTTTCCTCCTGGGCTCACAGCTACATGACTGCAGGGTGAGGGCAGGAAGGAAGCGGCCCTGGCACCAGCCCAGCCTGGCTGTGCATCAGGCCTCTCCCCTCCTTGGAGCCATGAGGAGCCCGTCTCTCAGTGCACATGGTAGAGAGCTGCTTTGCCTGTTGCCCAGGGAACCGCGCGTGGTTGGATTTCATGCAGTTGTGCGTTTGCGGTGACGCCTGTTGGCAGCTCCTCGTTTCTTGCTGCTGTCATTCATGAAGGCCTCCTGCAGCGCAGGCCAGTGGGTCTCTGTCCCTGCTTCTGCCTCTTCATCCTGTTGTGCAGGGTCCAAGCAGCGGGGGTATGTGCACTGTGGGGTGTTCACACAGAGCAGGCCCTGGCTTTCATCTGCCCCGTGAAGGAATCAACCTTTCAGTAGTGACTCCGGTGGGAGGAGTGTGTCACCCTGACTTGCCTGCAACCAGCGCAAGGCCTCTGCACCTCTTGGGGTAGTGGGGGATTGGGATAATGGCAGGGCACAGAGTGGGGCTCCTGCTACTGGCTGGCTGTGCTGTTATGTGAGCATAGGCAGCACTCAGCAGCCAGCTCTGGGTGTTGGGAACAAGGCTTCTAATCCTAATCTTAAAGTGGGCCTAAAGTTTGTACTCCAGTTGCGTCTCTTACAGTGTATTCACTGGGCCCGTCCTGCCCTGTCTTGTCTGGGCAAAGCAGGATCACTGTCCCCCATTCCCACCAGTAAATCATGCATACACGTGTGCATAGGGGTGTGCTTATTGACATGTTTGCAAAAGTGCCTTAATGTGCCTTTGCATAGACCCGATGATCTGCAAGGTCCCTTCCAGCCCCTAACAATCTATGAATCCCCCCACATGCATGTGCTTGCACCCACATGCATATCATGCTTGGGTGCCCACCTGTCCATGTGCCCTCCAGGTGGTGGTGCCTCCCCGCTCCTCTGGGGCTGGGGCTGGGGCTGGGGCTGGGCCTGGCTGTTGTGGCCCCAGCGTTCTGACCTTCAGACTCTGTCTCCTCCCCAGGGTACATCCCTAGTTACCTGGACAAAGATGAACAATGTGTCGTGTGCGGTGACAAAGCTACAGGGTACCACTACCGCTGTATCACCTGTGAGGGCTGCAAGGTAAGGCATGGGCACAACCTGGCAAAAGGTGCAGCCTCCCATAGATCCATGGGGCATAGAGCTTGCAGAGCAAAAGAGGAGGAAGGTGCCTTTTTAGTGAGAGTGCAGCCAAGCTCAGCAGCCTTCAGCCTGGTCAGTGCATGAAGGGGTTTCCGGGCAGCACCTATAGTGGAAGGATGCCGTGCCCTTAGTGCTGTTTGCAATCCCCCAGTGCAGTGCTACTGGATAGAACAGGTGCTCTGTAGGGCCCCCTGTCCCCTCTTAGCCACTGCTGACTCCAGTGCCATGGCATGGTGCAGAAAGGAGGTGGACCATCATCACTCAAAGCAGACCCAGGATCTCTCCTCACTTCTGCCCTAAATCATTGGGTAGGCATTGCTCTGCAGCCCTCAAGCAGCCTCTATGCTGCATCCCAAAAGCAGCTGCATTTCAGTGCTGGGAAAGCAATTGCCCCCTAGTTTTAGCCCAGGGCTATATGTGGAGCTTTTTTGCCATGAGGCCTGGGCAGGGATCGTGCTGGAGGCCTCCTCCAGGCCTGCTTTTGGCATTGGCCTCTCTATTCAAGCTACTGACAGCACCAGGTGTGGGATGCCTGGCATGACCCCACCATAGGGCACAAGGGCAGGGGGTTCCCAACTGGAGTGAAAGATGACCAGGACACCTGGGTTCCATTCCCAACTTGCTGCATGACCTTGGCTGCTAGGGATTGTGGGATGGGTTTTCTTGACTCAGTCCAGCAGCAGGTGCCCTGTAGATGGGCACTGAGGTCTCCATGTGCCTCTTGCTCTTAGCCTGCCATTAGGACTCACCTAGCATTAGGCTAGGTCACCAGGAACTCCTGCCTTGAGGAGGTAAGATCAGGGCAAGAGCCTAGTCAGAGATGGAGCCTTTCCAGCTTCTGAGGATTTTCTACCCTGAGCCAGGTCCTGGGGGCAGGGGGCAGCTTGTGTCTCTTGTGCAGCACTCATCCGCAGCCCCATCTCCTGGGAGTGACTGAAGAAAATTCTTCTCCCTCCCTGCTCCCCTTCCCTAAAAGCCTTCATTCAGGTTCAGGAGCAGCAGTGAGGGAAGTGGGGGAGGCGAGAGGTGGGGAGCACAGAAAGCCTCCTTCCCTTCCTCACAAACAGCTGGGGAATTCACCAGGTGCCCCGCAAGGGGTGTCTGTGTCCAGAGTCGGGAGCGGGGGTAGGAATTACACAGCTTGGCCAGGGTGTCTGTCTGCGCATACATGCCAAAACCAAGCCGGATGGGTGACCAGGGCCTGCATAGCTACTTCCAGCACTAGATCTCAATAGACACTGGGGCATGAGTTTGGCTGACACCTAGGGCAGTGTTTGGCTCCCTGCGTATGTACAGGAGGCACTTGATCAGTCCATGTAGGCACAAGCCAGGGCTGGGTGGGGGCAGATGGGTAGGAGGGTTGGTTGGAAAATCATTGGCAAAACTTGGGACAACTTCGTAAAGCTGTTTTCAGCAACCAAAGACATTCACCCAAACCTCCAAACAGCTCCCAACCAGTCCTGGCAGATACACAGACCTCCATGTCTTTTCCTCTCTCTCCCCCTTTTCCTATCATGCTATTCCCACTCTGTCAGTGGGCTCCTAGTCTAGAGGGATCTGGATGGTTTAGTTAGAGCAGGGTGCTGTGACGTAACAATTCTGTTTTCTGCCCCTAGTCCTGGCAGCACTATGTGTCAGTTAACAAGAAGTCAGCAGCTCTTTGCATCCCCCTTCCTTCCTTGCCAGGTCTAGATGCTGGCCAAGGTTCCTCAGGGATTCTGGAGGTCATTGGTAGTTGCCCCAAAGACCAGAACATTGCTCCTCACCCTGAGCGCAGGATCCGTCTACCTCTGCCAGAGCTGGGCAGTGGTGACCCTTGCTTGCTTGCCCTCCCAAGGAGGCAGCAGGGGATGTGGCTGGGTGCAAACACACACAGCACAGCCCTCTCCCACCCAGCACTGCCTGTGTCTGGAATAGGATTGCCAGAGCCCAGAGTTCAGCCCCTCTCACAATACGTGGATGCCTCCTTTCCCTGCCACTCCCTATCCTCCCTCCAAAGCAAGGGGTGGACAGTGGTGTGGCCAAGGACAGCATGCTCTGCAAAGGACTGTGCCTCAGTGTTGGGCGAACCGAGCAGGGGGCTCACTGGGACCCGTCTCGCTTCCCACAGGGCTTTTTCCGACGGACCATCCAGAAGAACCTGCACCCAACCTACTCCTGCAAATACGATGGCTGCTGCATCATCGACAAGATCACCCGCAACCAGTGCCAGCTGTGCCGCTTCAAGAAGTGCATCTCTGTGGGCATGGCCATGGACTGTAAGAGCCTCAGGGTGGTTTCAACACGTACTCGCTGGATCCTGTCATATCTCAGTCTGCTGCACTCTAGAGACCTCTAGGATCATGCCTCTGTTCCCTGTGTGGGCATGGGCATATGAATGGATGGGGAAGGAGGGAGTGGGCATGGGTGGAGAGGGCTGTATGGGGCAGCAAGGATTGAATGCATGGAGGACACTTATGGAGAAGGGTGGGGGGATGAGGGGAGGGCAGTGTCAGAGGCTGCAGGGGATATGTTCTGTGACTTCTAGAGCACAGAAAGGAGCAGAGCTCCCCACACCTGATGGCACCATCTCCAGTCTCTAGCATGGATGTTCTCAGGCCCCTTACTGCTCCCACCTAACAGTGTTCTGCTTAGAACTAGGCCCCATGGGTGACACCAGCTCCTGGAGGGGCTAACCCAGCCTGAGATACCTTGTCCTGGTGGGTTGGAACCTGTATCCTGTCCGCAGGTCACATGTTGTGGTGCCTTGGGCAATCACTGATGCTGCTGTGTGCTGCCGAATTCTGGGTGCAGGGAGCCACAGCCACCACATTTATTCATGCCCCTTCTCTCCCTCTGCCATCTCCAGTGGTGCTGGATGACTCCAAGAGGGTAGCCAAGAGGAAGCTGATTGAGGAGAATCGGGAGCGGCGGCGCAAGGAGGAGATGATCAAGTCCCTGCAGCACCGCCCAGAGCCCAGTGCCGAGGAGTGGGAGCTGATCCACGTAGTGACTGAGGCGCATCGCAGCACCAATGCCCAGGGCAGCCACTGGAAACAGAAACGGAAATTCCTGGTGAGGTCACAACTCCCACTTGCCTGATGTGGACCCACACCCAGGCCGCAAGCCACACCTCTGCATTGCACAGACGTGCAGGGTTGCTCATGCACATACCTTCACCCACTCTGCAAATCCCTTCCCCTGTCACACATGCATACCCTTGCCCATCGTGCAAGGCCTGCTAATACACCTGTTGTCTCGTGTGTGCATGTGTACTTGGCTCTTCCTGCAGTGTGGAGCCATTGCTGGCAGTAGCTGAGGGTTACTTTTGTCTTTTCCCTTTGCTCTGTCACTGGGGCAAAACTGTGAGTTCATTCTGGTGTCAAATGCGTCTGAATCAGCATCTGCAGCTGTTGCATTCAACTCCCCTTCCACTGAGGCAGTGCTGTCCTGCTCCCATGGGGTGTCAGAGCCATGATACCAGGGTGATAGAAATTTGGGGTCCTCATCCATGGACAGTAGACTGTAGACCTCACAACTCCTCCCTGCTTCTGTGACCCTTTCCCATGCCCCACCATCACAGGGATGGGACTGCTTAGGGGTTCATGGCACCCTTGGTCCACCTTGCATTCAGGCCAGTGAGGAGGGAGGGGCTTTATGACAGCTGCTACAAACTGGACCAAGTCCCAGAAACTATATTTCATTCATGGGCCACCAAAGCACTCCTGGGCTGTGGCTGCCTTCTGGCCCTGCTGTCCCAGCCTGGATGCGAACCCATGACTTTAAGACTAAAGACATGGAATCCCAATCCCAGCTCCTGCGTGTCTTGGAAAATCTTAGGGGTGGAAGAGAGCACCTCCTTGTGGCAGGAAATGGGAAAGGACCCAGGCACACAAACACTGCAGTCCTACCAGACATGTACACTGCACCAGCCATTAGCCTGGGGTCCAGGACCTGGGGAGAAGATGCAGCATGGTCACAGGAGTGGAAGCCAGGTCTCCTGGATTCTCTTCCCAGTAATGGAAGGGACATGGAGTCTAGTGGTTAGAGCAGGGGACAGAGCTGGGACTCCTAGGTTCCATGCCCAGTTCTGTTGGGGTGCTTAGTGAGGATTTAGCTGGGGATCACAGCATGACGGTCTGCACTGAACCCTGATGTACTGGGAATAGCGGGGGAAGACACAAATCCCTACCCCACCCCACCACTGAGAGGAAGAAGCCTCCAGCCCCATGCCATCACCCCACTGTTGCAGCTAACAATCCCTGCCCCACCCTGTTGCTGCCTTGAAGCTTGTGAAGGGTTAAATCTCCTAGTGCCTGGTGAATGAATGGGACAGCTGCGCTGTGTGCCCCTCATCCCTCCCCCCAGCAGATGGGCCGGAAGGGAAGGAAGTCTCCCCTGGTCTCCCTCATGTGGCTGGGGCTTAGCCAGGGAAGGAGCTCCCCCTCCTGGTTGCAGCTCTTTGGTGTCCCTGGAGCCCACGGGAAGCCTGTGAATTGAGCTTCACTGTTGGCATGGTGGGACGGGGGATGTGGGAAAGGGACACCAGGACTACTGAGTTCTTTTCCCAGCTCTGCAAGGGCAAAAGGGTCTAGTGGTTGCACCAGGGGACTGGGAGTCAGGATGCTTGGCTTTCTCCCTGGCTATGGAAGGGGGAAGGGGTGGAGTCAGGACACCTGGGTTCTCTTCCCAGATCAGCTGCTGATTGGGAGTATGACAGATGAATTCTCCCCAGCTCAGCCTCTATTCAGGGGTGTGATCAAAGTCTCCTCTTGTGCCCCTTTCACCTCCCCTCTCTCTAATCCTGGCATACACCCACCACAAGGGAGGTTTCTCTTGGATAGATGGAGCTGGGGGTGTGGAGAGGGCCTTACCCCCTCAGTCCTCTCCCAGGGACTGTTGAGGCTTGTCTCTCTTCCCTAAAAGGTTTGGAGGGGGGGACAGGCTGGGAAGAGGGTCCCAGCCAGCACTCTGGGATGCATGGCTGGCAGGCCGCTAACGTGCAGTGCTATCCTTCCCTGCAGCCTGAAGACATTGGCCAGTCTCCCATGGCTTCAATGCCTGATGGGGACAAGGTTGACCTGGAAGCATTCAGCGAGTTTACAAAAATCATCACCCCGGCCATCACCCGCGTGGTGGACTTTGCCAAAAAACTGCCCATGTTTGCGGAGGTAGGAGAGGGGTGGAGAGCACAGTTGGGGATGGGGGGTTGGAAGAGGGGCTTGTGGGAAGGTGAGAAGGGTCTTGATAGAAGGGATAGAGTGAGGGGTTGGGAAGAGGGTTGGAAGGAGCAGACAAATGGAAGGAGACAGTGGGGGAGAGGCAGGGTCTTGGGTCAGGAAAAGAGGATGTCTGCCCCTCCCCACCCCCGGTCCCCATCTAACCCCTCTATGTGCCTTGTGCACAGCTGCCTTGCGAAGACCAGATCATCCTGCTGAAGGGCTGCTGTATGGAGATCATGTCCCTGCGAGCAGCAGTGCGCTATGACCCTGAAAGCGAGACTCTGACGCTGAGCGGCGAGATGGCTGTCAAGCGGGAGCAGCTGAAGAATGGCGGGCTGGGCGTGGTGTCAGACGCCATCTTTGACCTGGGCAAGTCGCTTTCTGCCTTCAACCTGGACGACACCGAAGTTGCGCTCCTCCAGGCCGTGTTGCTCATGTCCTCAGGTAACAGCTGGCCCTTTACCCCCCGCACCCAACCTGCGTCCACCTGCACCCTGCTGCTGCTGGGGAGGGGCAGATATTCTCATCATGCACCTGGCCAGACACTAGTGTGGCTCCTGCAGCTGGGTGATTCCACCCTACCTTTACAATGGTTCAGCTGAAATTTGAGATGGCAACCTGGACCTCAGCTCTGGCCCCTGGCTCCCCCCAGTGCCCTCTGTGAAAGATGCATCAACTCAGTGCCTAAAAGGAGGGTAAAGCACCTACTATTGGTACCATAAGAACATAGAACATTTACTGAGTCAGACCATAGATCCATTTTGCCTGTATCACTCGGTGGCAGAGACCAGATGCTGAAAGAGAGAGTGACCGGGGTTTTTTCCACTGTTCCTCTCTCAGTTGCAGCCTCCAGGGTTTAAGGGCTAGGAAATTCTGATTCAGAGGCTGTATCCCTAGCTCTCATGCTCAATAGCTACTGATGCCCCTTTCCTCCCAAAATTTATCCAATCCCTTTCAAAATCTGGCTAAACTATCAGCTTCCACAGTCTCTTGTGACAATGGGTTCCACACCTGAATGTCACGCAGTGTGGAAAAGAACTTCTTTTTGTTAGTTTTAAACCTACTACCTACTTGTTTCATTTTGGCACCCTTAGTTCTTGTCTTGTGAGAGATAGTAAATAATAAATCCCCATTTACTTTCTCTTTGCTACTGAGTATTTTGTAAGCCCCTATCATGTCCCTCCCTCAAGCATCTCTTTTCTAAACTGACCAGGTCTGGCCTCTGTAGTCTCGCCTCATTTGGAAGCCCCTCCATACCACTAATCATCCTTTTTGCCCTTCTGTGGACATTATTTAGTTCTTCTCTATCCTTTTTGAGGTGTGGGGACTAAAAATGGGCACAGTATTCAAGGGGTGGATGCACTATGGTTTAAAAAAGGGGCATGATGATACTTTCAATTTTGTTTGCAATTCCCTTCATAATAACTCCTAACATTTTTTTTTGCCTTTTTGATGGCTGCTGAGCACTAAGCTGATGTTTTTAGTGAACTGTCCATAATGGCTCCTAGATCTCTTCCCTGTGGTAACAGCTATTATAGTGCCAGCCAAGGGAGTGCTCCCTTTGCTCTAGAGTCAGGGTCTGGGTTATGGGGGAAAAAGCCCCTGGGTGCAGCATGCATGAGGCTCTGCCAGTGGCCACGTATAAGCATGTGCCACACTGAGAGCCCACCCAGTGCTTGGGCCCATGATTGTCAGCACAACCCAAGCAAGAGACCGATGAACACAGATACTGGTGGGATGGCGCAGCGTGGGTGTTCATAGGGAGTGAGGGGCTGCTGGGAGTCCAGATGCCCACTACATGTTGCCACATGGCCCATGCCTGATGCCTGTCCATCCCTCCTCAGACCGCACCGGGCTGCTCTGCATTGACAAGATTGAGAAAAGCCAAGAGACATACCTGCTGGCGTTTGAACACTACATCAACTATCGCAAACACAACATTCCCCACTTCTGGCCCAAGCTGCTGATGAAGGTGACCGACTTGCGCATGATTGGTGCCTGCCACGCCAGCCGCTTCCTGCACATGAAGGTGGAGTGCCCCACTGAGCTTTTCCCACCCCTCTTCCTCGAGGTCTTCGAGGATCAGGAAGTCTAGGGCAGACGGGGAGGGGGAAGGGAGATACGTTAGGGATAGGGATGAACAGCAAAGTGTGGAAGTAAATGTTGACAGTCTGATTTAGTTCCTGCCTTTTTTTAAACGAAACTTCTGGATCCTCCTTTTAATCCTGACCAACCCTCCAGGGGGACAAAAGCTTGCGGCGTTGCAGAAGC